CATCGTTCTGAGGCATTGGCGTTTCCAGTACTTAACCACTTTGCCTGCATCCTTACGTTAACTTCATGTTAATGCGAGGATCCTTGCATTAACTTCGCAGTAGTAAATTTGCGAACTCTGCTTTGTGTCTCTTGCGCCGTTCGTGTGCTACACCAGGTAGGCCGGCAAATGCATTGAACCCTATGGGAAAAGCGCGACAGAAAGTGATATTTGTCTCTATTATATTTTGGATGACCAAACTTCGACGAAGATTTCTTGGAATGGTGAGAAATTCTTGTGTTATGAAATGTCAATGCTTCCTACTGTAAAGTTTTAGAGGGGAAATATCTCTCTCTCTCTCTCTCTCTCTCTCTCTCTATATATATATATATATATATATATATATATATATATATATATATATATATATATATCTGTTTTTGACCATTACACGAGCCTCACGAGTTGCACATTGCGTTTGGGACATCGGTTTTGTTTTCTAAATCAAAGTAGGTGATGTCTGATGACAAATGTAGCTTCTTTATTATTATTTTTTTTTAATCGTTCTCCGAAGAAACTGCTTTCGTGTTGCCAGTTACTTTAAGCAAGAACGGGGGATTTTGAAGCGTGACAGCTGCGATTCGGAACGGTCGATGGCAGCAGACGACAGAGATTGGCGCGCTCTTCGTTTCATGTAATAACCTTCTCGGCAGTTACCGACGACTGCAAGTTCCGTCTTACTATTCCTGCGAAGCCCCGTGAAAGTTGATCTACGAGACACTTCGCACAAGCTTCAAAAAGTGATTTTTTTTTTTTTTATTCGTTCCTCTCCTAGACTAGCAGTGGCCGTTGGTGGTGTCACTGTCGGGCTCCCCCCATCCGCGATCCAGCCTACTAGAGTAGAGACCAGCGAACCCCACCACTCTCACGTCACGCCACTGTGCTTATTTGTAAGCACCATGTTAGTGTAACTGAAAAAAAAAAAAAATAAATAAAGTAAAACTCGAGACAATGGAAAGGCTGAAGAGAAGCACACACACGCAAGGAAGTTCCAACGAAGTCTCCTGTTTGTCCTCTTTGTTTTACCTCAATGTCTCGTTGTTTCTTTCTTTCTTTTTTTTATTTTTTTTTTATTTTGCAATATGATGCAAACATTAGTTTGTCTACGCAATAACTCTGAGCCTAGCTCGCCCGGTCTCCCAAAATGGAGGCTCGTCGTCGCGTCTGGCCGCGGCGGGGGCTCTAGCACGGGGTTTTCCGAGCGCCGCGCCAGACGGCGGCGAAGTCTCTCACTTTCTCCGCGTCTCTCCTCTCTCTCACCCGCACTCGAGCCGCGAGCTCGAACCCGGGCCCCCTGCTCGCGCCCCGGCGTTTGGGGAGAGAGGAGGGGGGGTCGATACGGGACGACCGAGAAAGACCCCGGTGCCGGCGAAGAACCCCCCGACGACGTCGAGCTTCATTGATTCGGGAAGGGCTCTCCGCCCACCCCCAAAGCTGACAGTGCGCTGGAAGCTGGGCTTCCGCCGTCCCAATCGACCTCCTCCCTTTTCATCGGCTGACCTCACTCTCGCGAGGGGCGCGACCACGTGACGAAAGATGGACGTTTTGATTGGTCCAACGATTACGTGGCTTCCAGCGCGCTGTCAGCTTGGTGGGGAACGTAGTCTCGGAAGAAGTGTGTGTGAGTCGGTACTACGTTTTTACCTTGCGATGGACGGCGGATGGAGTCATTTCAGCCGGTCGAGCGCTGTGAGCTTTTATCACGTGGCTAAGCGTCGTTGCATCCCGAGCGAAGGTCACGTGATGGTGACGCGGTATCGGGTCGGCTGGGGTGATTCGTGGCGTCGCTGTGATTCATCGTTAGGCGAAACGCGGAGCCCGAGTCACTTTCAAGCAGGGCTATCGCATTTCGACGTAGTCTGCGGCGGGAGGCACCCACTTGATCGAATGACGTTTTAGCGGACGCCCACGTTTCACCGAACGACACTTTAGCGAATAGTCGGACGCCGCGAAGCGGCGTTTTCGAGTGGGCCAAGTGGGTGCACATTTTTGTAATGAGCCGCCGCAGATGTCGCCGCGAGGCGGCGTAAGCGCAGCGCGGCGGATGAGTTAACGCGTGCTCCCGTTATTCGCTAAAACGCCGATTCGCTCAAATGTCGCTGTTCGCTAAAACGTCATTCGCTCATATGATATGGACCCCGCTCATATGATATGGACCCGTGGGGAGCCACGCTTTTGTACGTGTTTTATCATGCGGAGCGCAAAGTTCGTCTGCTTCCTTTGCAGGGGTTGTGGCGACGTCAGAACTCCAAACTCTCATTGGTTCTGAGTAGAGGATAGTGGGTAGAACTCAAAGCCAGCCGCCTTGAGGTCTATCCACTATCCTGCAAGCAGAGCTTGGCGTTCCGACATTACCACAACCCCTGTAAAAGAAGCAGACGAACTTGCGCTCCGGATTGCTGCACCGACCAGGAAAGGCCCAGTGCCTTGCGCGAGCGTGACGAAGCACATTTTACGAGTTGAACCAACGCCGCCCGAGTTGATGGCACCGATCAAACAGTGTGAAAAGCGCAAGTTCGTTGGCTGTCGCAAGCAAAGACTTTACGTTTGATACAGCGCACATCGCTGCCTCTGCGCAGAAGAAAAAAAAAAAACATAAAAAACAACGTTGGTTGTGAATGAAGTTCTACGTGACGTTCTTTCTCGCTCGAATCTTCCCCCCTAGTTTCCACCGCACATGTGCGGCGAGGCAATCGCACGAGGGGGAGGGTTACTGTCGCTAATCGGCAGCCAGCAAGCAGTGCAGTCGCCCCCACCCGCGTATCGAGTGTCTCTGGACATCCGCTGGCGGCCGACAAGGGCATCCGGCCACGGACCGCAACTCCCACGCCCCCCGATTTCCGCTCAGACGTGTCGTCGACGGGAGAGTTCGCGTGTCGTCGGCACTACGTCTTCTCGCGGCCTCGTGTCGCGTGGGGTGGCCGTCCGCACCCACCACCCGCCTGCCCCGAAAAAGCGCGGTCGCGAGACACACGAGATAGCGATGGAGCCTTCAGTCGGGCTGTAGATAAACGTCACGTCAGCCATCTTGGTGCTGAAATCGCGGGGCAGTGATTTACACAGTCCCACACACTTCCAGGCAAAGTCTAACGCTTCCCCACAATTTCCTATAAAATTTTAAAGATGGTAAAACAGATTTTACTTTTTTTGTTAAGTGTACAACTTTTAGGCTGTCCGAGACACGTTACGAAGACCTTTTCTTGACATCTTTCTAAGCGAATATAAATTCTAGGCTGTCTGAGACACGTTCGTAACACCTTGTCAAAATATGAAGCCGTAAAAATAGGTTAGACAGCATGTGTCGGATTTTAGCCATAGGTAGTGCTGCGTGGGTCCCGTGTGGGGGGTGCCATGGATATTCGATTTGACTTATGAAGGGGGCTCGTTTTCTTTGCGGAAATAGAGGTTGGCGTGTCTGCGTTGCAACGAAAGAGAACACCCGGTACATTTGTATGATTCAAAACAAAGACTGAATTTATCCCCCCTGAAACACAAATAAATCAACAGCTGTCGAGTTAGAATTAATGAATTCCACCGACAGCCAAATGCAGAGAAATTTTAGTTGACCTGATGGCCTTCAACGGCCACCAGCGAGTCTGGACCATCTGGCGAAAATCTGCGTGACCTTGGCATTCTTCTTGATAGCCGTCTCACATTTAAAGAACATGTCACTTAGTGAGTACTTCCCTACACAAACTGGGACTGATTTCTCGAAGGACGTGCAACTTTTTGAGCTTTACATGTTTGACCTATTTATTTTGTTCCTTGGTTCGCTCAAGACTTGAATTGAACTCCGTAGCGTGGAACTCTTTGTCTTCTAATCAGAGCAACGAAATTGAGTGAGTTCAGAAGCGCCTGGTGGGAACAGTTTATGATAAATACTTTCATCATCATTGTTACCATAATTATAAATCGCGTGTGAACTATTTCGGCCTAGAAGAGCTATCTAAACGATGTACCATTTGTGATGTGATGTTTTTACATGAAATAATTCCTGGTCAAATTGATAGCATATCACTTTTGTCCATCAGTAGACTTTCATGTACCGATGTGAAGTAGTAGAGTGATCTTACCATTTTATCCCAATACCTCATATCATGTCTCACCCATGTCTAGAATTACGCACTGGTATAACAAACTTTATGATGCCGATCTGGACATATATGCACACAATGCTTTATATGCTGAAAAGATTGTTGTCTTTCATATATATTTTGTTGGTTTTTTGTGTAGGGTTTTTTTTGCGTTTAGCATGTTGTATATTCATTGCACAGACCTTTGATATTCCTGTATTTTGTTCGTTCAGCTGACTGTTTTTTTGTGAAGCTCATTTTTGTTCATAGTGTACCAATAAGAAGTCCTTTCTTGCTGTTTTTGGACACTACCAGACAATAAAGTATTAATATTATTAGCCGTTGAGATGTCCATTATGAGAAATCAGTGAGCACGGGACGACGTCTGATGGACATCCTACTAATCCATCACATGCCCGTCTTGCACATCTGTTCAGTATCTCAATCCTCCACACGTCCATGAACTGGCGGCCCTCTTGGCCTGCAACACCATTATGGGTACTACGCTAGGCATCGGGCGGACCGAGATGTCTAGTGAGTGCGTGTGACTTAATAAGTTTTTAACTCGAGCTTAATAAAGTAATTCTGTTGTGTGTATGTTTAGACAATGTGAAGTTAGCCCTCAATGGATATCTGGCGTCTCCGACACAGATAAAGAATTCAGCCGGTACAGTGCGACTGCATACCGGTATCATGCTCGTCCAGATTGAAATGGGCAGGGGTTAGGATGGGATCCCTGGGTTCTGCTGCGTGAGCTTTTGCTCCATATGCTCCCAGCTGCAGTGGTCTAACTAACCAAAGTTTCTGGCAGTGAAAGACGGGCCGACAGTGTCCAATGTTTCTACCAGACCTGACGTTGTCTTCTCGCTCTTGTTCCCCTCTCCCCAGGCGGCCATCTTGCAACACACGGCCGAGTACATCTACCAGCTTGAGCAGGAGAAGACACGTCTGCTGTCCCAGAACAGCCAACTCAAGCGATTGGTCAGCTCCCAGATGAGCCAGGACAGCGACGGCTCCTCGTCGGACTCTCCGCTTCCCAAACGCAAGAAGGGAGACAACGGTGAGTGCACGCCAGTGCTGCTTTCGAAACCTCGGTGAAACGACGGTCGTTGGAAGTCGTCCGATTGTTTCAACGGGGAACTGTTTGTCCTCGCCGTCCAACTCTCCGCAGGCAGCCTTGCAAGCACCTGAGGTGTGTCTTACTTTAGCGGAAAGAGAACTTTCCTTGGTCGGAAATTGTTTTTGAAGGGTATGGGGATTAGCCTCTCCCCTGGCTAAACCTCAAAGATGAAAATGGTTTACCTACTTTGGGACAGTTTTAACATAAAGCGGGCATTATCAGCCAAATTCTTTGAGAAAACCATTGAGAAGAACTGTGACATTACATGACATCGCTGTGACATCACCATGACGTTATGAAGTCATGGGGTCTTCGTGATGTGACACACACACATGGCATGTGCTCAGCTCATTCACAACACATTATCTGCTCCTTGTCTGTCAGCATAATCAAACCAGGCCTAAACATTTTTTTTGTAGCTTTTGATTTTTTTGTTTTGTTTTTTTCTCTTGGAGATTGGAACTCAGAGATCGTGCAATGCAGTTCTCCAGTACATTCCCCAGGATTTGTTTAGTAGAAGTGATCTAAGATCGTCGGCTTCATTAGAGCTCAAATTGACCAGATATTTTCCCCTCCATGTTTTAATCAAATATATGGGTTGAAACTATGACATTTCTTATAATGAGTTTCTTTTTGGAGTGATGTTGTCAACTTGGACAGGTGTAAATTTGTATTCGGCAGCTTGACCAGCATTCGGGCATTTTGATATAACTGGACTAAAATTCGAGCATGGAGGAGGAAATTAATTTGACTTCGGTGTTGGAACATGCTCGAGGGACAAACCAAATCCATGGCAATGTAAAATATGCAGCAAGAGCCTACCCAAAATCCGGAGATGACCTTGAAAAACTGGGTAATGAGCCTTTGCTCCACGAGCAAAAATGCAGAAGGGACGCATAACAGGGTAGGCTTTGCCGCTTTGCGCCAGAGCTTTCGGAAAAGCACAGAAGTCTAGGGCGGGTGCTTGATATGTCCTTTGCCAAGTTTCAAATGTTCCAAAAGTAGCAGACGGGCACTTGTCGCGACACGGGCACGAGCCCGGCATTTTACATGATCTTATTCGACAAATCGAGAAAGCGTCAGTACTCGGCTCTTCTCGGCATACACCTGCTGCAAGTGTCTGATTGAGGGGATCCGATCAATGATGGAGACTTCAAACCGTCTTCCACAAACGCCATCCTGACGTGTTTCTTCTTTCGCGTGTCTTGCAGTGAACGACGAAGGCATCGCGGGCATGAGCTTGCAGGAGGCGGAGTGCAAGGAGGACGCCTCCGCGCGAGAGGCGATGGAGCTGCGGATGCAGTTCGACCGCGAGCGGCAGCTGCGCCTCATCCTCGAGGAGCAGGTGCGGAGCTTCGAGGCACAGCTGTACCCGGACAGACCCAGGGACCCCGCCTCACACCACAAGGTCAAGGCAGAGGTCAGTCGCCCCCTCAACACGACGACGCCGAGTCGACCCTCAAAATCGGTTTCCGCCCGGCAGAACCCCTTTTCCCGACGTCCTCCTCTCCATTCCTTCCACACTTTTTTTGTTCCCAGAAAAGACGAGTTTGGGAGCTAACCCTTGCAGGAGACACCTCCTACAGTCTGTGACGGGTTAAGGGTGCGGTAGATGCTCCAGCACGCGCTTGTTACCTTCTGCCAAACTTTGGCTGTGCATACGATGAAGTGTTGCCAAAGGCAGAAAGTTTGCGCAGGAGGTGGAGCATCTGCTACGTTCTTAAAGTGTCGTCTACATTTGTGCTGAATTTTCGGCGTCATCTAAGAGAGACAGATTAGGCGTGAGTACTGTGTCAGTGTTTGGCCAGGAGTCGTGTTCTCGCCGATTGATTGGACGCGTGTCCAATCAAGAGGACACCGGTGCAGCACCCGATCTGTGCCCTATCAGTCTGACCTTTGGGGTCGGACTGAAAATTCGGGGGGGAAGCTGGAGTTTTCCTCTTTTGTCAGAATTTAAAATTGAGGGACAGCATTTCGCGGAGGTATGTTTCGTGCTGGATAGGTGGTACCTTAATTGGACCCGCTTTTCTGCTTTTTTATGCTGCGCATGTTCGGGAATGACCGTTGCGAAGTGTTGGAGTCGGTGCTTAGTTCCGTACAGTGCTTATGTGGTTCGAGCATGCATGTTGCTGAATCTACTTTTGAAGCAACGTGACATCCCTGCGCCTCGCGGAATTCTGCTGCCATGCCAGCCAATCCAACTATGTGACTGTATCATGTGACCACGCTACCGCACGCAACGCTGCGCTCTTCCTGAAGGTCACACTCGCGCAGCGGCTCGTAGCCTCCGCTGTGGTTTACATATGTTGAAACAGAGTATTGATCTTCCGAAGGGTCTACCAAGTCTTTCACCAATCCATTTTTGTTTCCTTGTATTGCCTCTGTAGTCTTGTACGGATCATAAAAAAACTGAGCTAACCTGCTCAGTGCTGTAGCTGTCAATGATAGCAAAGAGAAATGAAATTATGGCCTGGAACAGATTTTCTAGGGAAACAGCAAACATTTGTGGTGTTCTGTTGTGCACTTTTTGTCACAAGACACTGATCCGGGTAGTTTATTAGACGTTTGCAATATCCATTGCGGCAATTTCATCTGAATGGCATTGGAGCAGGTACACGGCACAGCACTATGAGCTTGGCCAGCGGCGTTCAAACCGGGTAGGCACAAAATCCACGTGGGAGACCTCGGGTATGTTAAGCCGTTAAAAAAGAGGCTGCAGTGGGCTGCCACATTTCCTATTGCCACTGCATGGCACTCGTTTTCGTAGCTTAGAAAAGGGTAAAATGCCATCCGGCATTTTACTTTTCTCAGCTGGCGCTAGACTAGGCCAGCTCCTAATGCCGCCTACCGCGCACTTGCACTTTCGGCGGATCGGCAATGCACGTCGCCTAACCCGCATCCCACTCTTGTCTCTTCCTCCAGCCCCAGGAGGGATGCGAAGCAGCCAAGCTGTCGGCGTCGCTAACGAGCCCCGAGAACACCCTCTGTGCCCCGGCTGACCACCTCCCGCCGCCCTCTCCACACTTTTCGCCGCCGCACCACCTCCCCGAAGGCACCGGCAGCCCACCGCGCCCACCACCGGCACACCCGGCGCCCGAACTCCCGCCAGCCGCCAGCCCGGCGCCCGACCTCCCCCAGGACTTGAGCACGCACTCTACGCTCGTGTCCGCCACGCCGCCAGCGCCGCCGCCACCCGTGACGGTGCCCGCGTCCAAGGAGGAAGGCCGGTCAGCGTGCGCATCCCCGTACCATGCGAGCACCTCGCGGCAGAACCTCGAGACGATCGTGGAGGCGATCCGACACCTCGAAGGCGACCACCTGTTCCGCGACGACGAGCCGTCGCTCCCCTCGCGGTGCGCCGTGGCGTCTGAAGACGGCGGCAGCATCCTGCGGAGCAGCCTGAATGTTGTGGTGATGCACGAGCCGTCGGCCACGGCGATGCGTCAGCAGGTGATCACTCAATGCGGGCTGACCCTGCAGCAACAGACGCGCCGGCCGGGCGTCATTGTGGCGAACCACTCTTAACGTTCGGCGCGAATCTCCGACCGGGGGTTTGCGGGGAGGACGGGGTCCTTCTTGTCGTTCGCTCCTGCGCGCTGACCGACCGACGAGCGGGCCGACACGAGACGCTAGACGACGGTACAGACACGCACACACACACTCGCGGAAACCAGTAGACGGAACCAATGAGGAGAATCGACGCGACTGGCGGCGCTCGGCGGTGGGTTGAATGCGCGTTACCTCGTGCAACCTCGCTTTGCGAACGGCGTTGGCGGCAGAATCCGCACCCGCCGCTCTTAAGGCGAGTTCCGTTGCGACGTCTCGCTTCCGCAGCTTGTTACGACTTCTCGATGCAAACGGCGAAGTCGGGCAGCTGTCGGCGGAGTGTCAGCGTCATCCCGTCGCCGAGCACTTTCGTGCGGATGTGAGAGGTTCCGAGAATGTCGTTCCAGCATTGGACGTAGAAGGAGGCCAAAATGCAAACACGGACAAAATGAACAGGGGGGTGGTGGTTTCTCCGCGTCGACATTATTCCGTTTGCAGTGAATGTCGTTTCTCCCACCTTATCTTTTTTTTCTCGTATCTTTTAACTGTGTTCCAGTGGGGTTTTGGTTCGATATGAGCAAGGAAGCTCATCGACTTGGCGGTGTTCCTCCCTTCTTGTTTGTGTTCTCGTTTAACGATCCTAGGATATCGCGACTAGCTGCAGTCGACGTTGCCCTCGGTTATTCAGGGCCTTCCGACGGCGTTTGCTAACGGCATGCCCGCAGGCCGGAATGTCGGGTTGCCTCTCCGGCTCGTAACAGCATCGTGACACCTGTAAAAAAAAAAAAAAAAATGTTTCGCGGGCTTGGACGTAAGGCTGGCAATAGAGGGTTGGAGACAGCCTTGTACATACGTGGACCCCGATTCCTTCCTCTCGTTTCAAACATTGTTTCGTTGCCAGCCGCCGAGACCGTTTTTTCTTCGTGGCATTTGGCGGCCGCAGTTGTCGGTGTCGTTCTCCTCGATTGCTTGAGTCGTCGTTTTTCTTCTCTACTTCTGCGTTTTTCCCAAGGACTGATAAAATGGGCAATGGCTCTAGATCGGTGCGCAAGCTCGTGAATAAGATCGGAGGACGGTTAGGACGGCAGAGGTGCAGCGGAAAGGGGGATCTCTCCTTCCGGCTAGACTGTGTAATATACGGGTGGGGTTAGACGGATCTTTGGGGGCTGTACAGTGTAAGAAATCGTGCAAATCCAGTGCAATGGTCTTGGATGGCTTCATCTTCACACAGAGAAAGAGGGCATTAAGTGTTTTTTCATACAGAACAGTTTTACGGTACGCAGAGCTCTATGTGTTTACGCTGCACCTATATATACACACAAAGCATTGTAAGCTTCGAAGGCGAAAAAGAAAACGGCTTCAAAACTCATTGTCTTCATAGTGATAAGGAAATCCTTCCCCGTGCCCCACCCTCCCCCCCCCCACCAACCTGTACCATAATGATTTCGCCGGCGTTTATTTCTCGTGTGTGTCGTGAAGTGTTTCTACGTGTTTTTTGGCCGTGCAGAGTTGAGAAGACGCAAGTGTATGTTCAAATTTTTTTTGGGGGGGCACTCTGTGGGGTCAGCACTGTATAGGTCATGCATAGCCAGTTTTCAACACCGTTTCGTTTGTTTGTGCCTGTCAGTCCCTTACTTAAGATGGCTTCTGTTACTCGAGGCAACGGAAAGATTTGTGTTCTCGTGCGTTCCGTCTCCTCTCTTCCACTATTTAAGACGCTTCTCCCTGCCCTTCCCCTTCTCTGATCTGCTTTTGTGTTCCCCTTGTCAGAATCTCAGCGACTCTTGCGCATGACCGTTCACCGCCCCCACCCCGAGCATCCCGAGACGAAATTCCCCATTCTGGTGCATTTGGTGCACACATTCGCTCACTCACACGCATACATACAACTCATTCACCCACAAATAAAGAAAGTGTAAGAAGTAACGACGAGAGAGATGGAGAGGAAGTCCGCACATTTTACGGGTAATAGCTTTCAGTTTGTTTGTTCGTTTGCTAGGCGAATCTTTTTTTTTTTTTTCCCCGAGTTATTTTTGTTGCTGCAAATGTCCGTCAAGAATGCGAACGCGTTGCTGCCGCGGCCGTCGCATCTCCGAGCGTGCAAAAGCTGCGAGCGTGTTGGCGTGTTGTGTTCCTACAATTGTTTCGTACGAAATCCTGTTTCCCCGCAGACACCTTGTAGCTGTCTTAGTCCCGGAGCGTGGCGCAGCGAGACCGCCAAATGCGGCTTGCCCGCCTTCGCCGTTTCTGACGCCAGTCTCCGGTCAGAATCCGTTCACACTGCCCGCGTTGGCTGCGAGTTTCGGTTTGTGTTGTGTCGTTCCTTTACCTCTTCCCACTCGGTCGGATTGCGTTTCTCTTTGCGGATCAAAGCGGCGAGGGTCGAAAGTGGCACATTTTTTTTCTCGCCAGAACATTCACTCATTCATGTCACACGCATTGTTGGAGACGGAAACATCGACGACGACTACCGTTACACCATCCTAATTTATATTTCATGTCCACGAGGGAAAGTGAACGAATGAAAGAAGAAAGAAAAAAAAAGGTGTAGAAAGAGAGAGCCCACCATCGTCACCTTCATTAGGGCGTAGTTTTTGTGTAGTTCCTTTCTTCACGGCCGGGATGTGTTGCACCGATCCCTCGGCAAGAGCGGGCACACGAGCGAGTGCCATTCCGTTTGCACGTGCTGTGACATTTGGGGAGCATCCAGGTTGATGACGAGGGAGTTTTTTTACCTTGAGAGAAAGCTGGGAGGCGTCTTTTTTACTCCTGCAAGCACTTCTGTTTAGTATCAAGTCAGGTTAAAAAAAAAAAAAAAGCCAATCGTAGCCACGGCACTACACACACACACTTACATCAGGAAAAAAGTGTCTGTCGTCATTTCTCCCTCCCCTGCCTTTGCATTGTGCATTTTTTTTTTCTTTTTGTGGTCATGGTTTGTAAATTCATAGTTGGTACGCATCAATTCACAAGTCGGTGCTGTTGTGCTGTTTCCGAGAGAAGGCAAGATGAAAGAGAGAGTAGCATTTGTACATAGATTCATCCAGTTTATTCAATTTTTTTTTTTTTATTTGCATGTTGCATTTGTTGATTCCCCCCCCCCCCCTCCTCCCATAGTCCTGCTCCGCACCTTGTGTTTCTGCGTCTCATGTGCGCGTCAGTGGACTGCAGTTGTATTTTGTTTTTACTACATGGTTTTTCCTGCAGGCAAAAGTCATCTGCAAAGTTTTTCTTTTTTTTTTTGGTATGAAGACAGTGCATAATATTGACAATAGTCTTATTTTAGGCTGTTGCACCTCCGAAAAAGAATTATCAACCATTCTCCGAGATGTTTCAGTTTTTTTTTTTTTCTTCTTATCTTTATGCGTTTTCACCTTTAAAAAAATTAAACCCAGAACATGTGGTGTATATCAAAGAACACCTTTTTAAATTGTCAAAGCCAATTAGCATTGTTTTTTTTTTTTATTTTATTTTCCTTCAATGTTTATGCCACAGCCTGGCAGAACTTTGTGGTTCTTTGAGAAAAACAAGCCTTGTGTTCAGCTTCGTTGAGTTTGTCTAAAATTCTTGGGCTTTGGCCGACCCTGTATCTCGTCTCCAAGTGTTGTTCCTAGCTTTTTGTGTAATAAATGTTTGTCAAGTACTTCTCAAGCTTTCATTTCTTTTTTTCTTGTTTTGTCTGCCTGGCCATGATCGACCGGCCCGCAAAACTCCCTGCAGGGTTCTTTGGGGTCAAACTACAAAAGTAGTTTGGTCATGGCAGTCATGGTATATATTTACAAACTTCTTATTTGCTGACTTCTGTCGGCCAAGGCACGGCCGCTTGATCTCCGTTTGTGCGCTATCTTCTCCAGCCTGCCGGTAGACTTCCACAGCAAGAGCCGGTCCTAGTTGCCTTATTCTCCACATTCGCTGATGAGGGCGCTGAAGAGCGCGGAAGCTTAATGCTTTTCAGCCTCAAAGATGCACGAAACTTCGGTTTTTTTCCCTGTGGTTCTTATTTGTTTATGCTGTTTTTTTGGCCTTTTTGTGTGGGAGATGGTTTGGGGTAACTCCGATAACTATTGTTACGCAGACACCAGCTGCAGTTTCGGTCCTTGGTACCACCATTTCGGAAGGCGACAGTCTATGAGTCATTACTCTTGTTTCTTGTATTAGTCCACCCCGTGAGGGGCGAGACTCCCTCTTTCTTCCGTGTAAAGGCACGGGGTTTCCGCACGCCTGTTGAAAGCAATCCGGCCCCCAAAGTCTTAGCTGATCGTATCGGCAGGCCTGCATTATGCTGTCTTTGGGAGCCACGCTCGATGTCGTGTGATGCGTGAATTACGTGAGAATAGTTTAGTGAGAAGAAAAATGAGCAGGGATACAGATATCTTGTTTATTATGCACTTTCAAGAAACAACAAAAACAAAATACTGGAAGAGCATTTTGAGAATCGTTTCATGTAGAGAACACCAAGCAAAAACTTGGAGCTTCAGGACCTTTCAGAAAGTGGCTTGTGGTACAATTTCATGTATCTATCCAGGGACTTGTTCACGTTTCCACTCCAGTTAGCCAAAAGTGGCCCGAGTAGCTCCCGCAGAAACGGTCTGCACAGTTCTTTGCCATGTTTTGGGGGGTCCCGTTCTTTGCTGCACACCAATAGGCACAACATCGCGCAAGGAAGCAACGCATCAAAGAACCTTGTGGATATCCGACTACTTCGCCCGACAGCAGCTGAATCAAGTACATTTTCCACAAACTTCCAGATTAGCTTGCAGATCCAAAGTGCTTCTAGCGCCGGATATCAGAGTTCCCCACGATCCCGAATTCCGAGGAAGCTGAAGGGGCTGTCCGCCGAACTACACATGAACATGCAACTTGTATTCAAATTAGTTTTGGATTAAACAGTTAATTGTCCCATGCCTCAACATTTTGACAAGGTTTTCATTTTACGGCACTGACTAACTGACAGGATGCAGTTCACTCGCCTTTTCTCCACAAGCATGGGCTACGTAGCCCGCCATGTCGGCCTTCGGAACGAGTTCCAGGCTTTCTGAGACGAGTGGAGACGTCGGGTGAGCCCAGCTCCTTCATAAGCCTCCTCGTAGCACCACCTCTGTGTTGGGGGGAGGTTGCCAGAACCAGGCACGTAGCCAGGATTTCGATTCAGGGGGGGGAAGGGGGGGGGGGGGGGGCCGCCCATAACAAAATGCTGTATGAGGGGGAGGGGGGAGAGAAGGCCCCAGCAAAATGAAAAATTTCAAGGGGGGGTGGGCCGCCCCCTCTGGCTACGTGCCTTGCCAGAACGGTGGGAAGCAGATGATCGCACTGAGGTCTGTCTGGGCATCATATCTTGTTGGTGCAATTCCAGATCTTGCTGTTTCTAATTTCAGCCTGAGAAAGAAAAGATGAAAGGTAGGTTGAAAAGCATATGTCGGGGGGGGGGGGGGGGGGGGGGGGTGAGATTGTGTATTGCTTTAGATGTTTTTTTCCCCCGTTTTTTAATTGTTTTATGTGCCACCACACTGTAACCAATAGGTTGTTTTGGGCATGATACATATAAAGGATTATTATTATTATTATAAACCCTAGTGGTCGCTTGTAAACCTTAGTTGAGGTCTTTGTTGATGCCACTGTCATCTGGTCATCAACGAAGCCATAGTTGAGGTCGTAGTTATGTCACAGTCTCTAGTCATCTGGAACATTCCAGATGACTAGAGAATCATGTTTGAGCGCAGAAACTTCTAGATACCCACGCGCTTTCAAACGGAGCTTCGCATGGCTGCTTGAGTCGGTCGTCCTTCCGTCGCCGTCAAAGTACATACTTAGTTACTTTATGTTTCTCGGTACAAGCTAGCCGGATGAAACGTTCATTTTATGTCTTCTTAATCAAGTTCATGTTTTTATTAGTAACAATATAGGTTTAGTGGATATGATAAACACTGTACACTTATTGTAAAAATAATAAATGACAAGCTGACAAAGCCTGACAAAGCCTGGTTCAACTTTTAAATAAAATTAAAAGAACATCTTCATTAACCCCCCCCCCCCCCCCATCAAAAAAAAAAAAAATTAGTCTTGTCCTTGTCTTCCTCCGGAACCATTCCCACAGCTTCCCTAGAAGGCAAGTGGAACATAACTATAAGCGGTTATGTTTAGCTCTCACTTACACTAGCTCTGCTTCATGAGAACCCCAATAGCTTCAGAAACTCAGCACTCAAGAGGTAAGTTTTAAGTGTACAGACGTGGCTTGATATTTTAACGTTAACACTCCCAGGTGCGCTGAAGTCTTTTGCCGTGGATACTTTCTCTTTGATCAAACATGTTTGTCTTTACTCCCGCTGTTCCATTTTTTTTAATTACTGTTAGAAAGTCTTGTGGTTCTGATATACAACACTGCAGCACTCACATGCAGCCCAATCTTGCATACCTACCCTTTGTGGCATTTCTCTAGTCGTTCTTTGTCAAGGCGCATCCACGTCATTGCAGTTTTCAATGTCTTTTAGTGTTACCTCCACTTCCTTGTCGTTTTGTTTTTCTGTTAAGACACCTGTAAGATATATATATTAGTATATGCAAATTTAAGAGAAGTAGTAATAGTAGTGATATTTGTTTAGGAGATGTTAGCAACTTCAAGGTTGTGGGAGCCGAGGGCGAAAGACGAGGCAGAGGGCACGTGACAGGCGGTCGGCGGAGAAGACGCGAGCTGGCGCGAGACAGTGCAGGCTGACCGAGGCTGAAGCTGGGCAGGATCGACGGAGCCGCGCTGCATGGCCTGGCCCATGGCGAACCCCGGAGCGGTCCACCAGCGTGGTTCGAAGTCCGGACCGGTGGAAACGGCGAGCCCTGGCCATCTGGCCTAGGCCACGACGATCCCGGGGTGGCTCCGCAGCGAGACTCTGGCAGTGATAGCCCGGGACAGCCAGTCTACGCAGCGCTGGCGTGGAAAGGGCGATCCGCAGGCCTGGACACGGACTCCGACTGTGAGCTCTGATCGACGGGCGACAACAAGGGTCGGCAAGCCCGGATACCGGCTCTCGACGACGGGCAACCGAGAGGTACAGTAAACCGATTCGCTGTCTTATCGTTGTGTTATGTCACTCCCTGGGTGACGAGCGAAACGCATACCGATGGGGCGGCGATAATTAGTAGAGGGACCTCCATAAAAGAACCCCACAAGGTGCAGGCTACTCCTCAGAAAGGCAAGTATAAAACAGTCATAGTTTTGACAGTTTGGCAACTATTAGGGAGTTTTAGAATAGCGCACGCTAAAGCTTTGCGTACGCAAAGAATAGCGTCGTCGCCACTGCGCATGCTCCGAACGCAAACCAGGTTTTGCGCTTTGCGTGCGCAATTTTAGCGTGCGCTATTTCTCGGAATTAGCGTGCGTACGCAAGAGTCTTTGCGCTTCTCCAATGAGGATTGGTCATGAGAAGTTGGCTAAAGCCAGCTAAAGCCAAGGCGAGCACAGTTAAAAAAAAATGGCGGCTTCCAGGATTATGTTGGCGGCTGCTTTGGCGGCGTCGTGAGTGAGATGTCGGCGGCATCCTTGCGACTGCAATTTTCAATACGGGACGACATTGCATTCGCTTTGGCAGTGATCACCGGCAACTTGATGCTTGCGACGCGCGAACATTTCACGGCGAAGGAACGATGTGCGAAGGTCAGTACACGACACCTCTCTTGCCGAGGCGACGCAAGCGGACACGACCGGTCAACCGCTCGCGTCGCGTTCTCATGTTTAAACAAATTAAAATGCTACTCTAGATTAAAAAAACTCGTTTTTTTTTTTTTTTTCTAAAGGTCCAGCATTTTGTGTGTGAAATAAAAATTTTTTTACTGTATCTTGGTGGCGTCGCAAGCGCGAGATGCTTGGGCTTTTGCGTCGCGGCGGAGAAACGCTATTCTAAAACTCTCTTGCGTCGCGTGCGCTAATACAAGCGCTAAATTTAGCGCTAGCGTGCGCTAAAATTGCGTACGTTATTCTAAAACTCCCTATTAGTATATGGGACAACTGGGAAATGGTGCTTCCAAGTTGTGCATGGTCGCCTCCCTGACTTATATGCCCCCATAGGGCATTTGCAAAAGGACCTCCTGTAACCCCAGAAGATACCATGCGAAAGGGCTATACAACCCCCGTTGCCTAGAGCGTGGGAGGGAGCACGTGTGCAATCAGGACGTTCCCATAATTCCTTGCACACATAGTTAGGCCCACCGGGCTTCTTGCAAATGGTCTATTACATAAAACTAAAGTTTAGCAATACAATCATGTACCACTGATTCAATGCGTTGTAAACCGAATGTATAGTCAACCGCACTGACATGAGGCTGATTCACCAGCAACTTTTTACCATTTACTCCGCATTCTTGATACGAAAGGAAGGAAATTTAGTATGTAAAATACCGAAAAAAACGTCCACCCAAACTTGTGAAAATCCAGCAAACGAAGATATGGACACTTGTTCATATCCACCTTGCTTTCTGCCGGCTCCAAAAAGCAAGCTGGCGGCTTATGACAAAACTTAAAACAAAAAGCAAAAATAATAATCGTCATGTGTTTAATACATTATCTTGAAACTAAATTTTTTAAAAATAAAAAATGAAAGACGTTTACAAATCTCTGTAGTTCGAAATTAAAGAGTAGCTCCTGAGGAGGAGTAGGGGAGGGT